TTTGTTGTTTATATTTATTATTATATAGTTCAGTACCGAGGGTTGCAGACTAATATTTTTATGAGTTAAAAAAAAATTATTAATATTTGTGCATGGAACTGAAGAGCCGCACCTCGATGTCCAGCCGCAGGTTGCCGACCCCTGGTCTAGCCCGTAGCGCCAAATCGCACCCTGTCCGAGCACTCTCGGACACGCCTGATTCAGTGAATAACTATAAAACCCCAGCTTGTCCGAAAACCAAAAGATAGAATAATAATTAGTAAACAGTACGTTCAGTGTATAAAATAAATAAAAGGCAGTATTTACAATATCCGTGTTTTACCTACCATATTGCATTTAGTTAATTCATGCATTTTATTTTCAGTACTTTAAATTTTAAAATAAAGTTTCATGACTAAAACCATTCCGCACCTATAATATTCCAACAATAATGTCCTCTTACACGTCTGCAGAGTCTGCATTCACATTTTGCTAATTATATTATTCTAAAAATAATTCACTCTTGGAGATTTTGCACTCACATTTTTTGTTAGCGTTAGTTGAATTTATTTTCAAATTACCTCCCTTGAAAAATTACAAAACAGTTTAATTAATTAGTTTTTATATATTAAATATTTTCTTTACGTTATGCGAAATAGTAAAAACAGTGGCAACTATAAAATAAATTTAAATCGATTCATAAACAAACCCTACCCTATCACTTATAATGCAAGTAAAAAGCACGACATGTGATGTGTTTACTTTTATGGTTCCAAAATCAATAGCGGTGAAGTAATGACGGACTGACACACTACCACCTGCGTTATATTATAGATTAAAGGGGGAGTGATCTCCCTTAAGGCTAGGTACTGCAGAACGTACCGATTTTACAAAGTTGTATTTAACTTGCACAAAAAAAACATGAAAAAAGCGCGTATAATAGCGCATTAAATAGCACTTTAAATAGACCAATTTTAATTAAATTAAGTTAAAATTTGATGTAAGATTGCATTGTCATCTGGTCATGACCAACGTGGTAAGTTTGAAACGAATAGGTCAGTTAGAAGTGCTCGAAATTTCGCTTGGCAGTTTCTATCTAAGACAGCTGACAGAGGAAGCAAGTTAAATAAAAGCTTGTAAAAACGTGTTAACAACAACCGTTTATATAATAATATGCACTACACATGAGAACATAAATGATATTCTTTAATTATAATGATGAGCTGCTATTTAAATAACTACAAATAGGTAATTACTTGGTAAATGACTTCTTTAATCTTATTAAACGTATTCAATACTTAATAGTGTCCCACTCATTTTTCATTATAGTTATTTAAATAGTGGGGCATTGTAATATATATTTAAAAATCACTTATTTTCACCTTTTTAGTGCATCATTACATTAGAACTTGTCGGTTTTTTTTGTTAAAATCGATTTAAAAATTTCAGGTACATTAAAACTTTTAATACAAAAGAATTGCATAACTAAAACAATTGTAGACCAAATGAACAGGACAAATGTACGTACAATAGTGCGGCAAATATTATTTTATATAGGAATTATTTATTAATTGTTTAAAAATGTATTATGCATCCAATTAAGTCGAATTTGATGTTATATTGCTTAGTCATCTGGTTCTGACACACGGACCAAATTTGTAACTATTCATTCAGTTAGAAATGGTTAAAATTTTCGCTCGTTGAAACTTGACAAAAAAAATTACATAAAAACTTTTTAATAACAGGCTTTTATGTTAAAATGCAAAAAAAAACAAAAACAAAAGAAGAGCCTAAATAATTTTCTTTACATATGTATATAATAGTTACTACTATTTAAATTACTATTATGAAAAGCGAGGGTCACTATATCATATACTGGATACCTTTATTAATATTTAGGAATAGACCCACGTTTTTCTTTATAGAAATTTAAAAAACTGTGTAGTATCTACTGTAAAAAGCTCAAACGATCTCTGTATGTATGTATTTTTTTATGTAGTGTCCGCCCCCCCCCCCTCCACCGAAGTAAGTCTACCGCCCCCTCCCTCCCCCCCCCCCCCGAAAATTTCAAGTGCCCCTTCCCCCCCCCCCCCCCGAAGAAAAAAGTCTGTAAGAAACACTGGTTCTTAGTCAAAAAGTTTTCAGGTGCAAATATATAAATGTTTCTATTAGATGTTACGTCTAAAATTTAGGCACTATGATTTTTTTACATTAAGACCCGTACACTTAAACATATCCTCCCAGTCTTATTTTGTCGTGCAGCATAATAGACGATGCTTTATCATGTTGTTAACCCTACCGGATGGGGCGGAGGGCCACATCATTGTTTGCTAGATGATAATAGCCAATGTATTTAATGTAAACGTCATTTCCTTTTAGAAACGATGGGAATGTAAGATAGTTTACTTAGGATTTATGTAATTAAACGGCTAAGATTAGAGATTTCAAAACTTTCCTGCTACAATAACAAAACCAAAATATTTATATCAGTAAATCAGTTTTTCTTTCTGGCTTTAAAACTTGATAATGGAACAGAAATAATTGAGAAATTTATAATTTACATTAAAAAAATGCCAGTAACGAAATTTAAAATTTGTAGAAGTTCAATTCCACGGTCGCAATGGCGGAAAGTGAAAGTGGTTGCAAATGAAAACTATAGCTCGGCTAAAAATTGTCATCTCCTTGGATACTAATGGCACTTTCTGACAAAAGTTTAAAAAATTGAGCTGTATCCGGACTATTTTTAGAAAGTAACGTCATGTGTCATGTATTGATAAATAGATAAATCACTCTTCCCATTTTGGAGAATACTTTTTGAAATATATTTAGAATTAGGTCAATGTTTTAGGTTAACTAGGCTGACATCGAAATTCCGCGTATTTGATATATGGTGTGTAGATTTTTTTTTTGGATATCGTGGCATTTAGGCAATACGTGTTTTCACTGTCGAGCTAAGTCCAAAATTGTGTTACTGTTGTCTTTTCTGTCTAATCTGTAACCACACTACTTGTGCTGACGAAGACCTTGGGTCGAAACGTCCATAGTATTTGTCACTGTCTTTAACTTGTGAGGTAACTAACACTATCTATTTTATTACTAACTAGATTTCTCTAGTTGTTTATTTATTGTATAGAATTTATGTAGAAAATATATACTTTTGATAGTGTCCGCCCTCCCCCCCCCCGGAAATAGTTGCCCCCCCCCCCCCCCACGAAAATTTCAAGTGTACCCCGGAGAAAAGAAATCTGGAAGAAACACTGACTGTTACTCATGTCTAAACACTTATATTGAAACAACCGTCTTCCCTTCATATCTAGATTGTTAAAGGATAGTGGTACAGTTAGTCACATTGAACAGAAAACACACGTTCTTTATCTTCATCAACGCCTCGCTCTACTAAAAAAATCTTATTCAGTGGCGTAACAGCCATGTAACAAAGGTGGACAAATCTCAAGGGTCCCCGAGGTCCGAGAGCTGTGTGAGAAAATAAACTCAGAATTTTTAAAAAAATTGACGCTCATTTTTAAATAATTAGTTTTGAAAAGAGATGTGTGGTCTAGTCCATATATTGTAAAACAAAAATACATGAGGACTTAATCAGCTTTTATTAGTGCAATAATCAATCTTAGTTAAAACAAAAGCTGAAAATTTAAAGTAGGTAGTGTCATCACAAATCTGAATAGAAAAAAAAGCAATAGATGTTTAATTTTGCAGTTTCTGCGATATAATATATAATTCCGAAATATGAATCGAGCACAGTGTGTTTTTATATTAATTTAGATTCTGTAAACTTTAGTCATGGATTAGATTTTTAGCATATGTAACCCTCACTCAGTGGGGATGCTTTTACCCACTGAGGTGTTGTGGTTAAGACGGGCTGACCCTGAGATTAAGTACACACCGACACCGACAGTTGTTGTCCAGTACTCGCTTTATTTACAGCATCGAGCCATGACGGCGATGCAACACAGTAGTACAAAACAAACTAGCCAAGAAGAAAAAATCCAAAAGACCAAAACCTGTAGCCCTAAAAGAAATGTAAATAAAAAAAGTTACATTCCTGACAACACCATGTGTAGGCTACAATATACACTGGTAACAATAAAATATGTTTTGGCCAGTACACAGTACTGCCAACAAGTACCAATACGTAGTACTTCAAATAAATACTTATATTAATACTCACCCTAACTAGTGTGCACATGCAACACTAGCAGGAATACATAAGTATTTTAACAAACATAATTTATATAACTACCTTCATTAGGTCTACATCTTGGCCCACAGACAGCAGCCTTGCGTGTGCGACACGGCTAGGCATGAAACTACCCACAATCCCATGTCACATGACATGGAACACAGGTAATTTCGCTCACAAAAGCATAAAAAAACAACGTCAACAGTTCAGTTACGGTCCCACAGGGGCCGCAACCCAATGAATAAAAACTTCATATTTTTATCCCCCTTTGGCTGGTAACCATATGTGCTACACATATATACAATATGTATATCTTTATATATGTTAATACGGAATAAAAATATTGTAGAATAAATATAGTAAAAGAATATGCTTTAATAAAAATAACATAGAAGAGCCGTAAATAAATATTTATACAGAACTGTATAAAAAAGTGTTCATTATTTTCCTTTTTTTAAAAATCTGCCGCTCACAATACTGCAAAAACCTGCGTAGGTTTCAAATGGTAAAGCCCCCCCCCCCTCCCATCCCACCCTCCACCAGCAATTCTTGTAATGAGTCATGTGCTTCTGGCTTATCGGCTTCGCCACCGATTCTATTCTATCTATTTTAATTTAATTTTTTCGTTAGTTGTGCGTGAAAGCAGTACCATAAACTGGCAAAACAAAGTTGTATTAGGAAATATGCAAGTTTGTTGTTTTTACTCAAGATGAAATGGAGTTTAATTCTATAACTATGACGCATTTGTTTTTTTTTTTTAACGAATGGATTTCTTATGTTCAGAATAAATGCTACCACTTCTTATAATGAAAGAAACAGCGCCATGTTTAATAATTCAAATTCCAAGCTTACTTGGTACTACGACGGTGAATATATCAAAGAGGCTTGCCCAGATCAGTGTTCATGTTTTAACGATGAAGTAGAGATGTCTTGCCTTTGTGATCCTAATTGGCCACGCTTGCCATCTTATACCAAATGGTTAACATTAATCAGCAGTGACAGAGCAACTATCATTTGTGACGCTTTTGATAATTTAAATCATTTGGAACATTTGAAACTCGCAAGATTTCATGGCATAGACACATGTGAGAAATATTTTGAGTCGCAACGATTTTCCTTGCGGCACTTATCACTAGAAAGCATTACCATTGAAGAACTTCCAGTAAATGTTTTTGCAAACCTACAGAACTTAGCATACTTGTTTCTCTATAAAAATCGTCTGACACGCTTGCAGGATGGTATATTCGCTGGTTTGACCAACTTACAAAAGTTAAAGATCGTAGAATGGGTCTCTCTAAACGTTTCTGATCATGATTTTGCTGGACTTGAGCTTCTAACCCATTTCGAATTTCTTTTTACAACAATAGCTGATCCATTTAAGGGAAATTTATCAGGACAGATTTCACTAATAGGCCCTACAGAAGGTATGATACATCAAATTAGCCAAAAGAAATAGTTTACATATTTTAAGACCAAATAAACAAGCTCAATATGTGTAAACACAAAAGTAAATTTATTACTTATTACAGTGTTGTACTACAATGTTTTTTGATTTACAAACCAGTCTTAATGACATCACGTCAAAGCTTGAGGGGGGGGGTCGCATAACGCCATAATTCCTAGATATTCTTTTTACTTTCTGGTATACAGAGTATAGAGGAAATATTGTAATCATGCGCAAAAATTACATGCGATTTTGAGTTTTCACATAGATACATTTTTATTAATCATAGAATATAAAAAATCAACCAACGAAAAAATTTACATTCTCAGGGTAGCCTAACCAGTGGCGGAACTACAGTGCGGGGGGGGGGGGGGGCATTTAGGGGCCCACAGCCGACCATAATAATTTTTTTTATAGTTATAAAAATTTAATTTTCTTGCATTTTTCACTTGATGGATGTTTTGTAAAAAAGATTATCGTTGCTGCATTACAAACATGACGTGTTGTAATTTGTTCTGATTGAAATTTTTTATTTTATTTTGAAAACCCGAACAGACCAGCAATAAGTATCCTATGTTCGTATTTTATGTTTGTATATTTTTGCGGGGTGGCTTTTTTTTTCTAGTTCCGCCACTGACAGCCTATCCCTTTATTAATTGTTATTGGGTATAAAACAATCCATTATATTATGATTTACCTATTTCAAAACAGTATTTGATAGCTTTATTTTTCTTTTTTTTCGCACATTCACAAAAGTTAGAGAAAATTATGTACCACTGTTTACAATATGCTTTCGTACTTGTGATGATAATCCATATGTTCGAAGTATCACAATTACCTTTTCTCGTTTGTGTCCAAGATACATGGGGCAGATGAAGCAGAGTTTATCTGTGTGGTCAGCAGCTTTTGATTCCTTAACGTGAGTCAGGTTCCCACTAGTTGTGTGTACTTAGGAACGTCGTACTTACTCGATCCCGGGATTTGAACTCGAGACCTTGGGGCTAGCAAACAAACGCTCTACTATTCGACCACACCATCCCTCGAGGTATGGACTTTTTATATTTATCTTGAGTCTTCTTACCTAAATTATTCACAAAGATGAAACCTGAACTTTAAAAGCATAAGCAGTTGTAAGATAAGAAGGAGTGAAATATAAAATACATACCCCAAATAACAGCACAAGTAACCCTTAGAGGATCGATAACAAAAGGCGTTTAAAATAAACCAAAAAAGCTATTAACATAAAGTAATATAAACTAAAATAAATTCATACTATGCATAAAAATAAAATCAAAGCATGCCAATGTATGTATATAAATAATCGTGGAAAGTTAAAAAAGAAATTGGTATATAATATTTTAAAGAAAAAATTTAAAAAATTAAAATATGCAGAAATATACAGGGTGACAAAAAGCTAGAGTGCAATTTATACGTTCATCTGGAATGTTTATTTTATAGGCTACTCTAAATAAATTTAATAAAATCAGTTTTTAAATCAAGGGGATCAGAAAACTGTAATTTCGTTGTAATTTCATAAATTAAAACAAATCTAAGCAAAGTGTAATAGCAGTGTCCAGAAAGTTTGGTTATTTCTGTAGACCAGACACCTGTACAGCTGATTCCTTACATAAGTTTCTACTTCAGGTGGGTATGTATTCAAGTCGACCCTCTCAACAAAGACAGGAACGATAACCTGACCTCGTACATTAAACTCTCGCATGATGGCCAGGTTCATCTCATACTCTCGGTAGTGATCCAAGAAAAGATCTTCAGACAACAAGACCAGCGTTTTTCTTGTGCCAGTTATAGCTCCACTGATGTGTGACACCATGTCCCCACCTGGAAAGTCCACTTCTCCTAAAATGTAAGAGATGTTCTTTTCTCGCAAGAATGGTAGGCAGCCTGGCATGGTACCACAGTATCACATTGTATGAAAGAAAATAATATATATATATATATATATATATATATATATATATATATATATATATATATATATATATATATATATACATACATATAAATCCTCTACTGATTTTAAGATCTTATAAGTAAAATACTTCGTTGAGCTATTAGTTGCAATAATATAACTTTTCCTCAATACTAAAATAAAATAAACATGGGCTGATCTACCCTAATAAAAATATTCTTATATAACACTACGGGGGATGGCAACGCAGGATATAGACATGATTTTAATGAATTTTTAAAGACTTAAACTTAAAAAATCCTAATATATAAAAATAAGACATATTCTAATGTAGAAACACATTTTTAACTATGCAACCCGAAAAGTGTTTCTTGTTCGGACAAGAACGATAAAAGCATTGACGTCACATGTCACATGTTTAAACTACGGAAAGTACACAAAACTAATGGCGTCATCTTCCAAGTTTAGAATATGAAGAAATGAACTATTTCATTTAAATTTGATTTAGATCTATAAATCTACTTATCAAGACGTACGGTATGAATTGTCTACAAATTTCTCGGCCAAAAGAAATAAAAATTACTTTAAAAACAACAAAAATACCTTTCAACGGCCGGGTTTTTAACGGAATCATTTAAGTCTCTTAATCAGTGTGTGCATGTAATATGGTGTTTTGTTGACCAACAATGTATATAATTTGGTTTTTCTAATAGTTATTGGTTGCGTATGTTATTTTAAATGTGCCGGAGCTTTAGCTATTTAGTTATATCTTTGCTGTGTCACTAATATAATTCAACGGGTAGTTAAGCACTTTGCGTTTTGATCAATAACTATTTTATAAAACATTTTTCTCAAACAAGCATTGTAGATTAGAATCCAGTATAAAAAATAATTGCGCACCAAGTGAATGGCAAACAATTTGTATATATTTATTTGTTTAAACGGCCAATGTGAAAAAAGGCCTTTGTGCCTACAATAATTTTTCAAATTTATTCAAAAAACGGTTACAATGATTGTAACCGTTTTTTGAATAAATTTGAAAATTTGAATTTGAATATGTGATGAAGTACTGAGGTGTAAAACGGTGAAAACTCAAAATCGCATGTAATTTTTGCGCATGATTACAATATTTCCTCTATACTCTGTATACCAGAAAGTAAAAAGAATATCTAGGAATTATGGCGTTATGCGACCCCCCCCCTCAAGCTTTGACGTGATGTCATTAAGACTGGTTTGTAAATCAAAAAACATTGTAGTACAACACTGTAATAAGTAATAAATTTACTTTTGTGTTTACACATATTGAGCTTGTTTATTTGGTCTTAAAATATGTAAACTATTTCTTTTGGCTAATTTGATGTATCATACCTTCTGTAGGGCCTATTAGTGAAATCTGTCCTGATAAATTTCCCTTAAATGGATCAGCTATTGTTGTAAAAAGAAATTCGAAATGGGTTAGAAGCTCAAGTCCAGCAAAATCATGATCAGAAACGTTTAGAGAGACCCATTCTACGATCTTTAACTTTTGTAAGTTGGTCAAACCAGCGAATATACCATCCTGCAAGCGTGTCAGACAATTTTTATAGAGAAACAAGTATGCTAAGTTCTGTAGGTTTGCAAAAACATTTACTGGAAGTTCTTCAATGGTAATGCTTTCTAGTGATAAGTGCCGCAAGGAAAATCGTTGCGACTCAAAATATTTCTCACATGTGTCTATGCCATGAAATCTTGCGAGTTTCAAATGTTCCAAATGATTTAAATTATCAAAAGCGTCACAAATGATAGTTGCTCTGTCACTGCTGATTAATGTTAACCATTTGGTATAAGATGGCAAGCGTGGCCAATTAGGATCACAAAGGCAAGACATCTCTACTTCATCGTTAAAACATGAACACTGATCTGGGCAAGCCTCTTTGATATATTCACCGTCGTAGTACCAAGTAAGCTTGGAATTTGAATTATTAAACATGGCGCTGTTTCTTTCATTATAAGAAGTGGTAGCATTTATTCTGAACATAAGAAATCCATTCGTTAAAAAAAAAAAACAAATGCGTCATAGTTATAGAATTAAACTCCATTTCATCTTGAGTAAAAACAACAAACTTGCATATTTCCTAATACAACTTTGTTTTGCCAGTTTATGGTACTGCTTTCACGCACAACTAACGAAAAAATTAAATTAAAATAGATAGAATAGAATCGGTGGCGAAGCCGATAAGCCAGAAGCACATGACTCATTACAAGAATTGCTGGTGGAGGGTGGGATGGGAGGGGGGGGGGGGGGGGCTTTACCATTTGAAACCTACGCAGGTTTTTGCAGTATTGTGAGCGGCAGATTTTTAAAAAAAGGAAAATAATGAACACTTTTTTATACAGTTCTGTATAAATATTTATTTACGGCTCTTCTATGTTATTTTTATTAAAGCATATTCTTTTACTATATTTATTCTACAATATTTTTATTCCGTATTAACATATATAAAGATATACATATTGTATATATGTGTAGCACATATGGTTACCAGCCAAAGGGGGATAAAAATATGAAGTTTTTATTCATTGGGTTGCGACCCCTGTGGGACCGTAACTGAACTGTTGACGTTGTTTTTTTATGCTTTTGTGAGCGAAATTACCTGTGTTCCATGTCATGTGACATGGGATTGTGGGTAGTTTCATGCCTAGCCGTGTCGCACACGCAAGGCTGCTGTCTGTGGGCCAAGATGTAGACCTAATGAAGGTAGTTATATAAATTATGTTTGTTAAAATACTTATGTATTCCTGCTAGTGTTGCATGTGCACACTAGTTAGGGTGAGTATTAATATAAGTATTTATTTGAAGTACTACGTATTGGTACTTGTTGGCAGTACTGTGTACTGGCCAAAACATATTTTATTGTTACCAGTGTATATTGTAGCCTACACATGGTGTTGTCAGGAATGTAACTTTTTTTATTTACATTTCTTTTAGGGCTACAGGTTTTGGTCTTTTGGATTTTTTCTTCTTGGCTAGTTTGTTTTGTACTACTGTGTTGCATCGCCGTCATGGCTCGATGCTGTAAATAAAGCGAGTACTGGACAACAACTGTCGGTGTCGGTGTGTACTTAATCTCAGGGTCAGCCCGTCTTAACCACAACACCTCAGTGGGTAAAAGCATCCCCACTGAGTGAGGGTTACATATGCTAAAAATCTAATCCATGACTAAAGTTTACAGAATCTAAATTAATATAAAAACACACTGTGCTCGATTCATATTTCGGAATTATATATTATATCGCAGAAACTGCAAAATTAAACATCTATTGCTTTTTTTTCTATTCAGATTTGTGATGACACTACCTACTTTAAATTTTCAGCTTTTGTTTTAACTAAGATTGATTATTGCACTAATAAAAGCTGATTAAGTCCTCATGTATTTTTGTTTTACAATATATGGACTAGACCACACATCTCTTTTCAAAACTAATTATTTAAAAATGAGCGTCAATTTTTTTAAAAATTCTGAGTTTATTTTCTCACACAGCTCTCGGACCTCGGGGACCCTTGAGATTTGTCCACCTTTGTTACATGGCTGTTACGCCACTGAATAAGATTTTTTTAGTAGAGCGAGGCGTTGATGAAGATAAAGAACGTGTGTTTTCTGTTCAATGTGACTAACTGTACCACTATCCTTTAACAATCTAGATATGAAGGGAAGACGGTTGTTTCAATATAAGTGTTTAGACATGAGTAACAGTCAGTGTTTCTTCCAGATTTCTTTTCTCCGGGGTACACTTGAAATTTTCGTGGGGGGGGGGGGGGGGGCAACTATTTCCGGGGGGGGGGAGGGCGGACACTATCAAAAGTATATATTTTCTACATAAATTCTATACAATAAATAAACAACTAGAGAAATCTAGTTAGTAATAAAATAGATAGTGTTAGTTACCTCACAAGTTAAAGACAGTGACAAATACTATGGACGTTTCGACCCAAGGTCTTCGTCAGCACAAGTAGTGTGGTTACAGATTAGACAGAAAAGACAACAGTAACACAATTTTGGACTTAGCTCGACAGTGAAAACACGTATTGCCTAAATGCCACGATATCCAAAAAAAAAATCTACACACCATATATCAAATACGCGGAATTTCGATGTCAGCCTAGTTAACCTAAAACATTGACCTAATTCTAAATATATTTCAAAAAGTATTCTCCAAAATGGGAAGAGTGATTTATCTATTTATCAATACATGACACATGACGTTACTTTCTAAAAATAGTCCGGATACAGCTCAATTTTTTAAACTTTTGTCAGAAAGTGCCATTAGTATCCAAGGAGATGACAATTTTTAGCCGAGCTATAGTTTTCATTTGCAACCACTTTCACTTTCCGCCATTGCGACCGTGGAATTGAACTTCTACAAATTTTAAATTTCGTTACTGGCATTTTTTTAATGTAAATTATAAATTTCTCAATTATTTCTGTTCCATTATCAAGTTTTAAAGCCAGAAAGAAAAACTGATTTACTGATATAAATATTTTGGTTTTGTTATTGTAGCAGGAAAGTTTTGAAATCTCTAATCTTAGCCGTTTAATTACATAAATCCTAAGTAAACTATCTTACATTCCCATCGTTTCTAAAAGGAAATGACGTTTACATTAAATACATTGGCTATTATCATCTAGCAAACAATGATGTGGCCCTCCGCCCCATCCGGTAGGGTTAACAACATGATAAAGCATCGTCTATTATGCTGCACGACAAAATAAGACTGGGAGGATATGTTTAAGTGTACGGGTCTTAATGTAAAAAAATCATAGTGCCTAAATTTTAGACGTAACATCTAATAGAAACATTTATATATTTGCACCTGAAAACTTTTTGACTAAGAACCAGTGTTTCTTACAGACTTTTTTCTTCGGGGGGGGGGGGGGGGGGGGAAGGGGCACTTGAAATTTTCGGGGGGGGGGGAGGGAGGGGGCGGTAGACTTACTTCGGTGGAGGGGGGGGGGCGGACACTGTTAAAAGTATATATTTTCTGTATAAATTATATAAATTTCATTTCGTTCGGGGGGGGGGGGGGGGCGGTAAAAAAATTTCGGCAGCCCCCGAACGAAGAGATGCCTGGAAGAAACTCTGCTAAGAACGGTAAGTTCCATGAAAATTTGATCTGCCAAATTTAGTCTGGATTTGCAGTTATAATATGGTCTGCTATCAAAATCAATACTGGTATTGTGCCTACAAAATAAGAGCGATAAATCTTTATTTCAAGAGACAAAACAAAATTACTACCAATTTATCTATAGCGCACCCACACATCTCCATCGTATTCTGGGCCCTTTCTCAAAGCTGAGCCGACAACATTCCATCTGCTTAACAATCTACCTAACAGTCTGGTTAGCTGTGATTCGCGAGAATCTTTACAATAGTAGAGCTTGTCGATCTATTAAAGGTTATCGGGGGCAGTTAATTAAGCTCTAAAACGTTTTTAATCTAAGTGGAGTTAACAAGATTAAGAACTATCCTTTGCTGTATCAGCTTGTAGTTTTCCGTAAATTATGGTCGCGAACGAGAGCATTCAGAGACAGATAATCGTCTTTCAGATATAGCGTGCTACTGATGTTGTTTTAAAGTAAATATTTTTAGTCATGGTGACTACATGATTAAGAAATCACTGAAAAGTGAAAAATAAAACAAATATTAAAAAAAAACGTTTCAGCAACAAGCTTTTAAATGCACTGAAAAAATATAATAAAACGAATTTGCTTTTTTTTAATACCAGAGATTTTGTAGCCGTAAAAGATGCCATTTGTAAATCTAACAAGTGGTATCAGTCACTGTGATGATTATGACACGTCAAATAATTTTTTACGTGCTAAAGAAACATTCCTGATGATTTTTATCAATTTTGCGACTGACGCAATCAGCTTCATTGTTTACATGAACTAATCGTTACCGAGATCACGCGTCTAAGAGTACACCCTTAGCAAAATTAGCAGGTTGCATCGGTCACTTCGATGTATATAAAAGAATCATAACTTCATATTTAACGGATTTTACAAGCTTCAATAAAGATGTAAATTGTAAATTATCATAAAGTACATAACGTGTTTTATTTCATTTTTTCTAAGACCACAGTAACACGCAGCACGGATACTCTAGAATGCTAAAAAATTATCAATTTCGAAGGAATTTTAGAAATAAAAAATAAAGTAGATACCTCCTCTGGTTTCGGGAAGTCACTCAAAAGTTGACAGAATTTTTTTTAATATGAAATTTAGTCCACCAAACTGAAACAGTACTCAAGTTATTGGTATTTTAGAACCGTAACTAAATATATTGGAGGCATTTAAAAAATGAAAAGAAATGTAAGGAAAAGATCTTATTTTTGTATATGTTTTTTCGTCTATCTAACTGAAACAGTACTTAAGTTATTGTGTTCTCACAAAGTACAGATATCCTACAAATAAACGGAGAGTAATCTTCCTAAACAGCATCGTGTATTGGTAAGTATATAATGTAGAAGTGGAATTGGGTTATAGAAATGGTAAGTAAGTTTGGGACAAATGCTGTTGTTTTTTTTCTCTATCAAATAAACAGGCGAACAGTTCTTATAATATGCTAATTTGAAAGAACATTATATAAATGTTCATGTTGTAAGGATATTTTAGAAAAAATGAAATATACTGTACCAAATCCGGTACACTGAAATCGGTCAAAAGAAAAATACGTTTCGAATATAATACTTGCATATGCAATTTTTTTCACCTAACTGAAACAGTACTTATTTTACTGTGCTAACAAGAAAACATGCACACACATACATGCGCGCGTGAACACACACACATATAAAAAAGTTCAAAAGGCTCACATACGTTTAAAAAATTAATGCAAAACTAATTTGTGGACTAAAGAATGAATAGAACTATAATACTTCGAACTATACTACACATACAAGAAAGTAAAATACACGCATTGGTTCTAGATACCAAACTACTTATCATTCATAATAGCATGTAACAGAAGAGTCCAGAAAATTTGGTTATTTCTGTAGACCAGACACCTGTACAGCTGATTCCTTAAATAAGTTTCTACTTCAGGTGGGTATGTATTCAAGTCGACCCTCTCAACAAAGACAGGAACGATAACCTGACCTCGTACATTGAACTCTCGCATGATGGCCAGGTTCATCTCATACTCTCGGTAGTGATCCAAGAACAGATCTTCAGACAACAAGACCAGCGTTTTTCTTGTGCCGGTTATAGCTCCACTGATGTGTGACACCATGTCCCCACCTGGAAAGTCCACTTCTCCTAAAATGTAAGAGACGTTCTTTTCTCGCAAGAATGGTAGGATAACATCTTTTAGGAGTCGTCTTACTCTTGGTTCTCCCTAAAATTATAAATATGTATAAACTATAAGAATCAGTATTAAAAAAATAGCTGAAGTGAATTTAAGTATGCATTAAATAGAAAGGCTGTTTCGTAATTTTTAAATATGTGTAACAACAGACTGTTAATTAAACTGTTTAAGATGAAGCACTTAAAAAAATAAGTTGTGCACATCTCTGGTTGATTTTTAGTGCGTCGATGTAATGTATCGTTCAGATTGTGTTATAGACGTTTGTTATAAGTGCTTCACTCAACTGTTTGACCACAGCGCCAAATATTTTTAAAATTACATTTTAGTGACATACAAGATTTGTATAATAAAATATTTAGCGTATCACTGTTTTTTTTAAAAAATAAAAATTATATGTAATGACATACCTCATCGTACGTGATGAAGACATCAACCTGTGGGTTGTAGTTGACCAAACGTCCACCGATGTGCAGCCGCCGTTGACCAATAAAGTAGAGGTACCTCAGCTTCCAGCGGTAATGGAAAAACACGGACAGAACAAGCAAACACAGGAGATGGGTGAAAAACACTGACAGCACGTAACTGAAATTTTCTTTTATTTGACACATTTTTGAGAACCCTTGCAATTTCTCAATCATCTGAGTATAGTTGAACTTTAAACTTGTTTCTGTTGCAAAGAAAATGTTTTCTTTCTTATAGAAAATTCCCGGGCTTTCAGCTAACAGATTCAGGATTGGAAGATTGACGCATTCAAATGCAAACACGTTACCCTGCAAATCTACCAAAAAGGCAGAATTGTGAGACTTTAATCTTTGCAACTCATCTGCCATTTCTTTCGTGAAGCCAGTCAACTCGTTGTATGATAAATCTAAATAAGTCAAGTTGAGAAGTCTTAAGACTGACGAATGAAATGATCTGATCTTATTATAGCTCAGATTTATTTTTTTCAGTTTTCTTGGAAAAGTTAAGTTACTATCGACGCTATTTAATTTTAAGTTTGACATTTGAAGTTCTTCTAGGCTTGGCACTTGTGACATAAGCAAATTAAACTTTACTTTTAAATACGTTGAGTTTCTTATGTGAGATATGTTTAAAGTCTGAAGATTTTGCATTCTAAGTAAAGAGTCAGGAAGATTTTCGTTGTTTGACAAATCCAAAAATTCAAGGTGAAATAATCCAGACTCATTATATTTTCTTTCTGGAAAACTTGAAAAGTTGCAAGACCTGTTTGACGTTTAAGTATGCAATTAATTACAGAAAGGAAAACTGGTTGTATGGATAGCAAGGAGGCTAGTGCGAAATAGACAGTAAATCGTCATTTTATTTTATTTTTGAAAACGAATATAACTTAATTTAAAATAATATAGATTTAGTGAAATAACTGTTAAAAGTGTAATATAAAAGAAGTTCACTGTATTTAAATATCACTGGTAATTAGCACCAAATGAGTCAATTATTTATGATGGATAGCCTTATTGGAACACAGAAACACAGACTTACACAAATATATACAATATATTCGACAACTTAATGTACTAAAATAAAACGTAAAGCACTTAGTTGTTTGTCAGTAATTATTCAATACGGCTAAGTAAGCCTGATAGGAAAACTGAATAATAGAAATGTAAATATAATGAGAAAGTCTCCATGGGATCGAATGGAAAGATGATAAAATCTGGAAAAATTATTGAATACACCCATTGGAGCTTTCCACCGTTCTTTGTGAAAAGCTAGTACTTTTATAGTTACAATAGACGATTCAGTTTTTTATTCTGTTCCTTAATCCGGAAAAAAAACTAAAATATTTAAAATTAGTGTCAAATAATTGTATGTATTACCTTTCCAACCCAATATCCTTATCTGTCAACAACTGTTGGCTCAAATCTAAATGTTTCACAGTATTTACTTCATTAGCCATTGCGTGTAGTAATGCTGTAAGATTAATATTGTTTTTCCTTAAGTAGAGTCTTTCCAGTTTAGGCGACAAAGGCAATTTCTTTTCTAAACTGAAATAATATATTCTATTATAAGAAACATCTAAACTTATAATGTCTGTATCTACAAGGCCTTCTAAAAGCCGAGTCAGTTTAAAATTCGGTAACCATTTCATTGAACGTAGAATCACGTTTTGGCAATTCTGACGTTGGAACAACCTTTTAGCTTTTAAAATTTGTTTCAGATTGAGATGAGTGAAACTGAGATCCAACGCTGCTACTTTTGACTCCATAATAACCGATGTTCCTGATATGCTAGTGATAGGGCAGCCATTTAAATTAACGCTCACTGCATGATGTGATTTTATGTTTTCAAAAAACAAATCGCCTAATGTATTTATAGAACAAAAAGTCGAATATGTAGCCGTCAAGTCTAAATTCCGCAGGTTCTTTAATTTCTGGAATCCGGGGCCCAGTTTACAGTCCGTCCCAGAAAAACGTAAGTTTTGTAGGCCGGTCAACACTGAGAATGCAATGTCAGGATAACACAGAGGTGAAGATATCGGATTGAAATCTGAAGATCCTGAAACAAAAACAAGTTGGAGCAAAATTTTGTTGCAATTTGACAATACACACACACACACACACACACACACACACATATATATATATATATATATATATATATATATATATATATATATATATATATAGTATGTGATGTCGGTAAGAAATAGAGATTATTTAATATTTATCAAATAACCACTTGTATCCGTAGGTTGAGTCAGGGTAGGGACCCGAGGCTGGATGGTGAGGGCGGAAGATATTGAAGAGGGTAAGGTAGAGGCAATCAAGACATTGAGGACTTGGTTGTAGGTGGACTAGTGGCCAATTTAACGGGTAGGGTCTATTGAATAGTTAGTCCTGATAGATAGTTAGGAGAGTTAATAGGCTATTGATAAGGGTTTGTGAGATTATATTTACGTTTGTTTGCATATTTCTTCCATTTTAATGTTGGTGTTGTATTTGGTGGAGGGCCATCCTGATTTTTGATGCTGTAACGTTTATATTCTATGAACAATGACGGATTTGACATTGACTTGTCTTCTAATTTCATTTCCATTTCATGTTTATGATCACCAGTTCGAAAGGACAGGTTGAGGCTTAACAATATTATATATATATATATATATATATATATATATATACTATAGTGAGAGAGAGAGAGAGAGAGAGAGAGAGAGAGAGAGAGAGAGAAACAAGAAAGAGAGACTTCGTACTCATACTACTGCCACCTATAGATTATAAGAATTTAATAATGATACATTTTATTTTAAACTTTGTTGCAAAAAGTATCCATAATAATAATTAAAAATTAGTAACTCTAAGTAATTAAGCGTTACACACCCTCTGCTCTTATCCCCTGACCTGTCGTGTTTTTTGTGCGCCATTAAGACTGCTCAACCTATCAAAGACATTTTAGTACTACAAGACACTGTGCTACAACAAGACATTGCACTACAACAAAGGCATAAGTAATTGATTAACTTTCGTCTTTGTATATTGTGTTCTTGAACTACGTGGAATATTTCTTTGGAATTATTACATGTATCATACCTTCCGCTGGGCCTGACAGTGGAATCATTCCCGATTTTTTTTTCTTTAACGTACTTTTCCAATTATAAAAAATATCAAATTCTAAATGGGTTAGCGACTGGAGTCCCACAAACGATTTATCAGAAATATTTGGCATGTACGATTCCGCGATTAGTAATCTGTTTAAATTGGCCAAACCAGCGAAAACCCCATCCTGCATGTAAGTCAGTTGATTATCACTCAGCCTCAAGTATGTTAAGTTTTGTAAGTTCGCGAACAGATTCACTGGAAGTTCTACAATAAAATTTTGATCAAGTGTCAGGTACCGTAATGAAAAACGCTGATCCCAGAAATATTTCTCACAGGCGTCTATGCCTCGAAATCTCACGAGAATCAAATCTTCCAAATGATTTAAATTATCAAAAGCGCCGCAAATTATAGTTGCATTTCTTTCACCGTTTAAAGTTAACCGTTTGGTATTAAACGGCACGTGCGGCCAATTAGGAAAACAATTACATGACATTTCTTCATCACCGTTAACACACGTGCACTGATCTGGACAAGGCTCATTGATGTCTTCACTGTGAACATTCCATGTTGGCTCATTGATGTCTTCACTGTGAACATTCCATGTTGGCTCATTGATGTCTTCGCTGTGAACATTCCATGTTAGAATTATTAAACATAGAGCTGCTTTTTTCATTGTAAGAAGTGGTGGCATTTATTCCTTGAAGAAACAATAAATTCGATAAAATGAGTAACACATATGTCATAGTTTTAGAAAAATTAACTCCTTTTTTTGAAGCAGTAAAACTATTATCTCGCATATTTCCTAATACAGTTTGTTTTCCAGGTGATAGTATTGCTGTCATGCACAGTAAATGAAAACAAAAAATATATGAAAGATATAACGTAAAGGATGTGTTTTGTTGAGTAGAGTCAAGTGTTTAAGTGTTTGAAAGTAAACCATGTGTTTCCTGTAAGTGTGACTTGCTTTGTGTCCACTTCCCATAACTGTGAATGGTAGGCGGTTGTAGTTTCAACTATAGGCGGTCTCTAATTGCTAAGGGAGGTTATTTTAAGTAATATTGACAGTTTGCAGGGGAGGTAATTTCAGTAAAGGTTATATAGACAGTCTACAAGGGGTTAGGTTTAGTTTCATGAAGTAATATAGATAGTCTATATGGGTGAGGGGGGGGGGTAGTTGTCAACTGAAGTACAATATGCAGTTGAGGTGGGGGTAGTTTCAGTAGAAATGCTATAGTCAGTCTACAAACGGTGGCTAGTTTGAGTAGACATCCTATAGTCAGTCTACAAAGGGTGAGTAGTTTCAATAGAAGTGCTATAGACTGTCTTCAAGGTGGGTGGGGCGGGTGTAGTTTCAATAGATGTACTATAAAAAGTCTGTAAGGGAAGGGGTAGATGCCTTCTGTTTAGATGGGGGAGGATGGGTAGTTTACATAAAAGTACTAAATATATTCTTCTGGGGGGTCGTTTCAATTCGAATACTATAAACAGTCTAAAAGGGTGTATTTTCAATTAAGTACTAACTACTGATGCATTAGGAATGCTTATTGAAATACAAACAGCATCTGAATGTAACATTTATTTGGTACTGGACATGCACAACAACCCCCTCCCATCCGACAGATATACACCATCCCTCCCCTCCGAGAGACTTACAGCAACCCCGATCCCCCTCTTCAGATGCACATACACCACCCATCCACTCCGTGGGACATACACCACTTCTCACCATTCCTACACCACCCATCTTGTAATAGTTTGTTCAGTGAACGTTTATTTCTGAAATAATAAAAAGTCTTGTACAGTTTTCATGAATTAAATATTATCTAATTCATTCATAGTATCGTCCTTTCAGGCCAGAGCTGAAAAATGATGCAGTGATATCACTTTTTTAACCGCCGAACTGTATATGTATTCTACGTAGCCCAGAATAAACCTGTCACTATCTTAAATACTCTACGTTTCTCAAATACTTTAAAGTAAACAACACACGCAATGAAGTAATTTATAATCTAACATACAAGGATGTGCCTCCCCTCCCCACTAGTAAAATTCACATCAGGATAAAGCACCATCTGTCATGTAGCACATCAGATTACAACAGGACGGATATGGTTAAGTGTAGGCCTACATGCCGTCCTATGAAAGCTCTTAAGTGGCTTAATTTTAGACACAACATTCGAGTGAAACAGTAACAATATTTTTTTATAAGAAAACTTGAGCGTAATTTTGAACTACGAACTTCTAGACTGGATTCGGTGCAGATTGTCTGCTACTACAATCAACGTGGCAAATAAGAATAATACTACTTTGCTACATTGGTGAGATTGAATATTGGTGCGCGCGTATGTTGAACGAATGAAGATGCGATTCGCATAGTGACGTAGAGGGTAGAAAGAAAGTTGTTGACATAGGAAGAAAGATAGCAGTTAGGGGCTAGATATTGAAAAACTAGGTTCGGGTTATGCTGTTGATTTAGACTGGTATTGCAATGTTTGAATAAAGACTTAAGTAGGAAGAATTAATATCCTGTTAAATATATTGTGATATCTGTTACCAAGTGTTTACAAACTTTTAATTAGTTCACAATATCTATGGGTTTGAGCAGGGCCGGCGCTATCTATAATGCGAACTAGGAGGTCGCCTCGGGCGCTATCCGTAGGGGGGGGGGCGCCAAAATTGGTTGGAAAAACAAATTGAAGTGGGGGAGGTGCAAATCGAAAGTTTGAGGGGGGGGGGGGGGATAATTGAAAGTTTGAGAGGGGGGGGGGGGTGCAAATTGAAAGTTTGTCCGCGGGTGCCGGGAGAGGTCGCAACGCCTCTGATAATACGGGGGTACGACAAAAATTGCGGGGGAGGGGGGGCGTTTTTAATAAGTTTTGCCTAGGGCGCTAAATAACCTGGCGCTGGCACTGGGTTTGAGTCAAATCTTGTAACTGAATTCAACCAATTGCTAATGTAGCGATTTCCTTCAAATTTTCCTAATTATATATTTTGTCTTTTATGACTACGCATAAATATCCACATTTCTAGCGAATGACAAAAAGTGGGAGAAAAAACATAATAATAAACTTTTAAATTTACTTAAAAATAAAACAAACTTTATTTTTTAAAATAAAAGCTCTTATGTATAATAAATCTAGTGAGCGACTAAAGATTTGATTAAGGAAAGCGAGTATGTTTTATTTTCTTATTTTTAGTGCGTTGAAAAGCATATTATATTATACATATATTTTTACAAGCTTTTATTTAACTCACTTCCTCGACAGTCTGTCTGTCTGTCTAGACCGAAACGCCGGAGTGAAAATTCGGAAACTTCTACTTGATCGATACGATTCACACTTGGCACGTGGGTCAAGACATGAAGACAATGCAATCTGAAATTAAATTTGACTTAATTGGATGCCTAATTAATTTTTTATGAGACCGAATTAATAGGCATGTCTATCCAACCACACCACACGCGTCATCACGTTCAATAGCTGCGCCATCAGGTTTAATAGCTGCGCCATCACGTTCAATAGACACGCAATGGTTTTTAGTCATGTAACACTATTGTAAATAAAACATGTAAAGTACTGAAAAAACAATTCATAAAAAACGTTTTAATAACAAGCTTTTATGTAATGATGCACTAAAAAGTAGAAAATAAATTATACACTACTATTTAAATTACTATAAAGAAAAGCGTGGGTCTCTTCTCAAATATTAGTAAAGGTATCCAATAGGTACTACCTATTGGATACAAAAACAAAAACAGCATAAGCAATTAATGGAAAAGGATAACAAAAGACGTTTTAAAAAGGTAATAACATAAAGTAATATAAACCATAAAGAATTCATGCTATACATAAAATTAAAATCAAAGCATGCCAATATATGTATATAAATAATAGTGAACAGTTAAAAAGAAAATGGTAAATAATATTTAAAAAATATAAACATAAAAATATAAAAGTATTATATAGGATGACAAAAAGCTATAGTGCAATTTAATTGTTTGTCTGTTCTGTTTTTATAATATACTCTGAATACATTTATTGAACTCAGTTTTCAAATCAAGAGAACAGATAGATGTAATTTAGTTGTAAGTTGGTAAATTAAAACCAATCTAAGCAAAAATGTAACATAAAAGTAAAACAATGCTAAAACAATTTTAAACTACTTGTCATTTCTAATAGCATGTAACAGAAGTTTCCAGAAAATTTGGTTATTTCTGTAGACCAGACACCTGTACAGCTGATTCCTTAAATAAGTTTCTACTTCAGGTGGGTATGTATTCATGTCGACCCTCTCAACAAAGACAGGAACGATAACCTGACCTCGTACATTGAACTCTCGCATGATGGCCAGGTTCATCTCATACTCTCGGTAGTGATCCAAGAAAAGATCTTCAGACAACAAGACGAGCGTTTTTCTTGTGCCAGTTATGGCTCCACTGATGTGTGACACCATGTCCCCACCTGGAAAGTCTACTTCTCCTAAAATGTAAGAGATGTTCTTCTCTTTCAAGAATGGCAGGATAATATTTCTTACAATCTGTCGGATTCTTGGTTCACCCTGTTAGAATAAAACAAGATGTGTCGTAGAATTTCCTACAACCAATAGACTAGAAAACGAATAGAGTTCTACCTTTTCCATATTTGACCTATATAAAGTTTTATTACTTAAACTTTAAAGATATGTTTGAAAAAAATATCGACATAACCACACATTATAAAAACATAGAGTTTGGATATATAACATCTTCAGTCGTTAGAAGGCTTTCACGGTTATCTTAAAAATAAAATGTGTATATATCCTGAATAGTGATTTTTTAAAATCCATTTATGTACCACAATCCGTCAAGATGGTTACTAATTTGTTTTATTGTTGATTAATTTAAATATTTTGTAATTATCCTAACTTTAATTCAAACTCTATACCTTTATATAACTTTAATCCTTACATTAAGAGAAAAAAACCCAAGCGTTCACCTAAGCCTAAAACCTAACACAAAACCAAAAACATCACTAGACATTTGTTCAAGTCTACCATTGACGATAACCCTAACCCTAACCCTCTGCATAGTCCTAGCCCTCGCCCTAACCCTAATAACCCTAACTCTAACCCTTACCGTAGCTGTACCTGGGGTTAATGTCATACTGGGCGGGGGAAATACACATGGGGTAATTCACAGGGGGGTAATTACTACGGGGGGTAATTTCGGGGGGAAATATCCAGGGGGTAATGGACGGGGGGATGCCCTGTTTCCGTAATAATACAACTTATAACATCTAAACTCTAAATATTACAATTGATAATTTACAATGGATATATAAAATTAAACGTTGCTGAATATTTTTTTTTAATTAGATCTATTTCTGTTAGTCAATATTCTTACTTCGTCATATGTGATGAAGACATCAGCCCGTGGGTTGTAGTTGACCAAACGTCCACCAATGTGCAGCCGCCGTTGACCAATAAAGTAGAGATACCTCAGCTTCCAGCGGTAATGGAAAAACACGGTCAGAACAAGCAAACACAGGAGATGGGTGAAAAATATCGTCAACACAAAGCTGAAGTTTTCTTTGATCAGACAGTTTTGCGTCAGTCTTGGAAGTTGTGCGACCATCTCCGTGTAGTTTAAATACGTATTGTCTTCCTTTCTGAACATAATTTCGTTTGCGGAGGTATACAGTTGTGTGTTGGTAACCATAAAATGTAGACTTTGAACATACGTGCAGATAAATTGTAAGTCGTTGTGAGATAAATCTACAAGAAACTCTGGATTATCAAATTTAAATCTCTTCAGCTCCTTCCACATTTCAACCGAGAAGCCAGGTAAACGGTTGAACGACAAATCTAAATATTTCATGTTCAAATGTCTCAGCAGGGATGCCTCGAAATATGTCAATCTATTTCTACCTAAAAATAATAATGTAAGATTTTTCGGAAAATAAAATGTGCGTGGTATAAAAGTTATTTGACAATCTCTTAACCATAGTTCTTCGAGCTTTGCCAAATCTGTTCTCAGCAGGCTGTCGTCTAAATCACCCCCACATAGTCCTGTACCCTTAGTACCCGAGAGTCCTAGTACACGGAGATTTTTCATGCCCTCTAACATGTCTTCAGAATCATATTTCGAAAAAGAGTAAGAAATATCTAAAACTTCCAAATTAGATAATCCATTGCTCTCGGAATTCACTCTTTTTATTTTACTGTGTGTCTTGTTCTGATGGGATCTGTAAGGAAAAAAACTGCTATAAACAATTAAACAGATAGGTGTGTAAGGTTGGTAAGATACTTGGATGAATGTATAGGTTACGATATCGTACTTACAAAAGAACTTTCAGTTTATTGGGTGCTCTTTTAAAATCTAATTTTGTGAGCGAGTTTTCTGGTGAATCTCTCAGGGCTTCAATGAAAACGTCTATAAAAAAACTACCTTCAGTGACCAGTGCCTCCAACTTTGGAGGAAACTTTTTGTAACGAAATGTTGGGTCCAATGTAATATTGTTTCCAGAAAGAGTCAAAGATTTTATTTCAGTTTCTACAAATAAGTTCAAAACTTCTGATAAATAAAACATGGCACCTGGTACCTGTCTTATTTCCTGTAACGAAAACTCGTGCACGGTTTTAAAGAGTTGGATAGCGTCCAAAATTTGTTGTAAAGTTAGGTTTGTTTTATCAAGGTTCAGGCCTGACAACGTTGATCCCATCACAAAAGATGTGTTGGTAAAGCTTGAGAGTCGGCGGCACCGTGCCAATGAAATAGATATATTTTGCTCTGATTGTATGTTTTCAAAATAATTATCGCACAAGTGCGTCAGAGTGCAGCCATAGCCGAAGTTTACTGATTGAAGACGTTTTAACTTCCGAAATCCGGGACCCAATTTACAGTTCGAACCGGTCGCTCGTAGATGCCTCAAGTTTGTCAACACTGAAAACGCTTTGTCGGGTAAACACAGGGAGGTCACGAAGTTATGGCTTGAATCTAAAATATAAATGTTGATTGATCAATTTATATGTAAACAAAATTAAGTCATGGTGTAACGTCTTGAATCTAAACGTAAAAATATTTATTGATGAATTTGTATGTAAACATAAAAGTTTAATATTAGAATATTTCATATTTGTAGTTTTATTTCCATATTAAGGTGATTTCTTGTATTTACTCTCATTGCAATTACACAAAAGCCTATACAGACTGATATTTTACTCTATTGTATTGGGGAAAAGCAAATTGGAGTACTGATTCCGGTAGATAGACACACTTCCAGTTTATGTATAACATCTTATTTTTGAATTACACTTAAATTTTGATTGACCTCCTTTATCCGGAAGTGGTAACTTATACCATTTCCGACTTCCAAAATAGAGAAAAACATAACTTCTGTTTTAGTAAGGTATACTTAGTTAAAAGTTCTTATTCTCTTGATGGTTTCAAAGTTTAAGTGATTTCCGTCGGCCAAAAAAAGTCTTTCACGCTATTTCCGACATATACATATATATATATATATACATATACATATACATATACATATACATATACATATACATATACATATACATATACATATACATATACATATACATATACATATACATATACATATACATATACATATACATATACATATACATATACATATACATATACATATACATATACATATACATATACATATACATATACATATACATATACATATACATATACATATACATATACATATACATATACATATACATATACATATACATATACATATACATATACATATACATATACATATACATATACATATACATATACATATACATATACATATACATATACATATACATATACATATACATATACATATACATATACATATACATATACATATACATATACATATACATATACATATACATATACATATACATATACATATACATATACATATACATATACATATACATATACATATACATATACATATACATATACATATACATATACATATACATATACATATACATATACATATACATATACATATACATATACATATACATATACATATACATATACATATACATATACATATACATATACATATACATATACATATACATATACATATACATATACATATACATATACATATACATATACATATACATATACATATACATATACATATACATATACATATACATATACATATACATATACATATACATATACATATACATATACATATACATATACATATACATATACATATACATATACATATACATATACATATACATATACATATACATATACATATACATATACATATACATATACATATACATATACATATACATATACATATACATATACATATACATATACATATACATATACATATACATATACATATACATATACATATACATATACATATACATATACATATACATATACATATACATATACATATACATATACATATACATATACATATACATATACATATACATATACATATACATATACATATACATATACATATACATATACATATACATATACATATACATATACATATACATATACATATACATATACATATACATATACATATACATATACATATACATATACATATACATATACATATACATATACATATACATATACATATACATATACATATACATATACATATACATATACATATACATATACATATACATATACATATACATATACATATACATATACATATACATATACATATACATATACATATACATATACATATACATATACATATACATATACATATACATATACATATACATATACATATACATATACATATACATATACATATACATATACATATACATATACATATACATATACAACATACACATACACATACACATACACATACACATACACATACACATACACATACACATACACATACACATACACATACACATACACATACACATACACATACACATACACATACACATACACATACACATACACATACACATACACATACACATACACATACACATACACATACACATACACATACACATACACATACACATACACATACACATACACATACACATACACATACACATACACATACACATACACATACACATACACATACACATACACATACACATACACATACACATACACATACACATACACATACACATACACATACACATACACATACACATACACATACACATACACATACACATACACATACACATACACATACACATACACATACACATACACATACACATACACATACACATACACATACACATACACATACACATACACATACACATACACATACACATACACATACACATACACATACACATACACATACACATACACATACACATACACATACACATACACATACACATACACATACACATACACATACACATACACATACACATACACATACACATACACATACACATACACATACACATACACATACACATACACATACACATACACATACACATACACATACACATACACATACACATACACATACACATACACATACACATACACATACACATACACATACACATACACATACACATACACATGCACATGCACATGCACATGCACATGCACATGCACATGCACATGCACATGCACATGCACATGCACATGCACATGCACATACACACACACACACACGCACATGCACATGCACATACACACACACACAGACACAGACACAGATACAGATACACATACACATACACATACACATACACATACACATACACATACACATACACATACACATACACATACACATACACATACACATACACATACACATACACATACACATACACATACACATACACATACACATACACATACACATACACATACACATACACATACACATACACATACACAAACACAAACACATACACATACACATACACATACACATAGACATACACATACACATACACATACACATACACATACACATACACATACACATACACATACACATACACATACACATACACATACACATACACATACACATAAACATACACATTCACATACACAGACACATACACAAACACATACACATACACATTCACATACACATTCACATACACATACACATACACATACACATTCACATACACAGACACATACACAAACACATACACATACACATTCACATACACATTCACATACACATACACATACACATACACATACACATACACATACACATAAACATACACATTCACATACACATACACATACACAAACACATACACATACACATTCACATACACATTCACATACACATACACATACACATACACACACACACAAACACACACACACACACACACATAAACAAACATATATATATATATATATATATATATATATATATATATATATATATATATATATATATATATATATATATATATATATATATATATATATATATATATATATATATATATATATATATATATATATATTTATATATAAATATATATATATATACACTTAAATATATGTATATATATATACATGTAAATATATGTATATATATGTATGTATATAATGTAGAGTATATTTTAGGCTTTAAAGGTAGTCGTGGGCCGAAAACTTTTTGGAAGCACTTAGCTAGAAAAAGAAGAATATAATTTCTTTTGGCTAATTTCTTAATGATCATACCTTCTGTTTGACTTGTCATTGAAATCATCCCTGGAATATTTTTCTTAACTGAATATCTATGAAAAATAACTAACGTGATATCAGTTAGCGACTTGAGCCCAGAGAAGGATTGATCAGAAAATTTTGGAAATTCATTTTGATCTATTACTAGTTCTTTTAAGTTGGCCAAACCTGCGAAAACGCCATCCTGCAATAGTGTCAGGCCAGTACCACTTAGCCGCAGATATGTTAGGTTTTGTAGGCTCGTAAACAGATTAATAGGAAGCTCTGCAATTTTAATACGATCTAGTACTAGTTCCCTTAGTGAAACACGCTGAGCCTGGAAATATTTCTCACACGTGTCCATACCATGAAAGTATTTGAGTTTCAATACTTTCAAATTATTTAAACTGTTAAAAGCGTCACAAAAGATGTTTACATTACTGCCATATAAACGTAAACGTTTGATATTAGATGGTACGTGCGGCCAATATGGAAAACAATTACATGACATTTTTTTTAAATAATCATAACACAGGCACTGATCTGGACAAGTCTCCTTGCTTTCAGCACCGTGATACTTCCAAGTAAAGTTAGAGTTCGAATGACTAAACACAGCGCTGTTCATTTCATGATAAGAAGTTGTATCTTTTATTCCAATAACAATGCATATATTCCATAAAATAAGAAACACATACGTCGTAGTTATAGAAAAGAAGAATTCCATTTTCTTATGCAGTTTTTTTAAAAAGTCGCATATTTTCCTGATACAGTTCTTTTGTAAGACTACT